GCCTCAGCCTTCTGAGTAGCCAGAATTACAGGCGCACACTACCACACCCGGCTAATTTTTGATTTATTGTAGAGATGAGGTCTCGTCAAGTTGCCTGGGCGAGTCTCAAACCCGTGGGCTCAGGCAATTCACTCATCTCGGCCTCCCAAAGCGCTGGGATTACAGGCTGAGTCACCAAGCCCAGCCTTCTTTTTCTTATTACAGGCTTTATATGCTAAAATTCTTAACCTTTTAAAATATATATACATTTTTCAAAAAATAAAGTTAGAAATCCACGTACTCTCCATAAAAATAAGTTGATAACAGAAGAATGAAAGATGTAAACAAGAAATCATAATGGCATCAAAATTTGAGTAAACATTTATATGTTCCAATATGTTGCAGATATTTTATCTCTGTTCTTCATTTATAAAGATGTGTGTACAGGTGTGGGGATATGCAGATATTGTTTTCATACAGTATAATCAAATTTTTCAGACTTTTCCTTTGTGGTTTTCAGCTTTGGTATCAGTATCATGCCTAAAAATATCATTCTGGAACATATAAATGTTCACCCAAATTTTGATGCTGTTATGAATTCTTGTTTACAGCTTTCATTCTTCTGGTGTCAATTTATTTTTATGAAAAGTATAAGGACATCTAATTCTACTTTTTTCTAACTATATGACCTGTTATTCTAAGATCATATGTAAATATTCTTTCTCTGCTAATGTGAAATATAAATAAATATAAGCAATATTGCATGCTAAATCCTTATATATAATTAGATGTTTCTAGAATTTCTATTTTTGTGCACTAACTATTCTGTTTCTGCAACCCATTATTTTTACTACCTCATTCTTAATAAGTGCTTCAATAACTGGCAAGGCAACACCTCTTTATCTCCCTTCCCTTTTAACTTTTTTTAATGGATATTTTTATCCATTATATTTCTTCTTCTACTTTAACTTTAGAGTCATTTATCATATCACCCTGCAAGGGTGACAAATGGCACTAGCACTTTTGTTGCCATTAACATTAAGTAGATTAATTTGGTGGAGGATTAAGTGGTTTATAATTGTGAACCTTTTTATTTTGCCATTTATTCAAGTCATTTTTCTTAATCCTTAAGAAAGGATTAAGGTTTTGAAACTTTCTACATACAGACTCTCTCTCTCTATTTCTTGTTAATGCCAATGATTTTGCCAGTTTTTAAATGCAAGCAAATACGTTGACTTTTGCTGAGTGAACAGAAAAAGAATTACTCAAAGATTGTTGGGTAATTCAAAGAATCAGTTGAGCTCGAGAAGTAGGTTCAAGGTTAAACTTAAAAAAAATGACCTTGTCAGCAAGGTCTGACAAGAAAACTCTCACTGCCACCACCACCATGGAGGCTAGCCAGTTCAGGTTGCAGCTGTCACCTCTACACAAGGATCTCAACTCTGCAGCAGTCACCATTACTTCTAGGAACAGTACTACTACTACTATTTTTTATTCCGTTCCACTGGCTAGAACTGCCAGAATAAAGTGACTAACGTATTAGTGGTGAGCTTATTCTTGTCTTTAATTAGAAAATGTGTGGTTTGTTTTGATCCACCAATGTTCCTGAGAATATTATGAGATTCGTTTTATTTAATTTTACTTGTATTTTTAAAAAATCAGAAAACAAATTTTTAACCTTATCAGATGCTTCTTGGTCAAAATAAGCATATGCTTTTGTGTTTTTTTATTTTAACCTATTACTGTGACATAGTGATCGATTTTCTAATATCAACCTTTCTTGTATGAAATAACTCATTCAGTCATGGTGAGACATCATCAACATTATAAGGGTATGAGCAAATGTTCTGGAATCTGCCTGGGTTCCAATCTAGGTTCTGCCTTTGCTATTTATTATGACCATGGAAAAGTCTTAGTCTCTGTAATACTCAGGTTTTTCTACTATGAAGTTGATAATGCAATAATAATACTTATGTGAGAATTTTGTGAGAATCATTTGAGATTATTCATGTCAACAACAGTGTATGGCACATAGTGAGTATGCAGTAAATATCAATTAGTATCTTTGTTGTCTGTTAATATAATGTGAATTTAATATTGTATGCATAGTTTTTGTAAAATAAAGTGAGATTGGCTTGTGATTTTCTTTTGGAATGTTGTTTTTGTCAATTAACTTTGATACATCTTTTGTATAAGAGCTCTACTAATTTTGCCAAATGTTTTAGAGAACTTTCTTTCTTTTTCCATACTCTAGAAAACCAAGTATTTAAATTTCTGTTTTATTAAGAAATGAGAATTCTTCTGTAAACTTTAATACCTTTAAGTTTCCTAGGTATAATTCTCTGACAATTTTCTCATTCTTTTCATGGCTTTTATATTTTTAAAAGTTCTACTTAAAATAATTTCAATCATTTGTTCTTTCTTAGAATTATATATTCCCATACAATAATAAATTCAAATTTATTATAATAGAATTATGCATATTTTCTTAACAATTTTAAAGCGTCTTTAAAATCTGTTACTTTCGTTCCTATTATGTTACAACTTTGATACTTGCTATGATTCTTCACCTGTTTCAAACTAATAGCACTTTCATTATCATGATTAGTATGAATAAGTTCTAGAAATGTTATCAATAAAAAGTGAATAAATTTATTCTTTTGGTTGTTGTTGAGTCAGAGTCTCACTCTGTCGCCCAGGCTGGAGTGCAGTGATATGTTCACTGCCACCACAGCCTCAACCTGCTGGACTCAAGGGATCCTTCCCCCTCAGCCTTCCAAGTAGCTGGAACCACAGGCATATGACACCACACCTGACTTTTTTTTTTTTTTAATTGTAGAGATGAGGTCTTGCCATGTTGCCCAGGCTGGTCTAGAACCCTTGGGCTCAGGCAATCCTCTTGCCTCCGCCTCCCAAAGTGCTGGGATTACAGGCATGAGTCACCACACCTAACTTTTTTTTTAAATGATTTTCTTTCTCCTTTCTTCTTTTGATTATTTGAGAATTACTTTATTCCCTATTTTAATGCTTAGTTTATTTTTCTCCTTTTTTATTTTATTTTTTATTGATATACAAATAGATGTACATATTTGGGGGAATACCTGTGACATTTCGATACATTCATAGAATGTGTAATAATCAAATAAAGGTAATTAGGATGTCCATTACCTTAAATATTTTCTTTTTCCTTATGCTGGGAATATTCAAATTACTCTCTACCAGCTATTTTGAAATGTGTAATAGATGACTGGTTCCTATGGTAATTCTACTGATTTATCGAGCATTAGGTCTTATTTCTTCAAGGCATTTTAGGCTAAGGAGCTATACATTTTTCTCTTAGTACAGTTTGATGCCATCCCATATTTTTGATAAATCTATTGTTTTAATTTTTTTCAGTTTTTATAGTTTTGATTTCCTCTTTAATCCAAGCATCATTTTATTTTATTTTTATTTTTTTTGAGTTAGAGTATCATTCTGTCACCCAGGCTGGAGGGCAGTGGCATGCTCCCAGCCACCGCAGCCTCTACCTGCTGGGCACAGGCGATCGTTCCATCTCAGCCTTTCAAGTAGCTGGAACTGCAGGCACATACCACCATGCCCAGTTAATTTTTTTATTTATTGTAGCGATGAGGTCTCGCCATGTTGCCCAAACTGATTTCGAACCTGTGGGCTCAGGCAATCCTCTTACCTCGGCCTCCCAAAGTACTGGGATTATAGGCATGAGTCACCGCGCCTGGCCCCAAGCATTATTTTAAAAGAATGCTTTTAGGCTGGATATGGTGGGTTTATGCCTGTAATCCCAGCATTTTGGGAGGTAGAGGCAAGAGGATTGCCTGAGCCCAGGGACTCGAGATTAGCCTGGGCAATTTGGCGAAACCTCATCTCTACAAAAAAAAAAAGAAAAGCTGAACGTGGTGGTATGTGCCTGTAGATCCAGCTACTTGGAAGACTGTAGTGGAAGGATCACCTGAGCCCAGCTGGTCGAGACTGTGGGAGCTGTGTGCTTGCCACTGCACTCCGGCCTAGGTGACAGAGTGAGACTCCAACTCAAAAAATAAATAATTAAAATTAAATTAAAATAAAATAATTTTAAGTATTTTTTTTCATATCTTTCTAAAATCAATTTTTAGTTTTTTACATGGAGATTAAAGAATGTGGTCTGTACAGTGTTTCTTGTCTCCAATTGTTTGATCATTTCAGCAAAAAATCTAATGAAACTGGTAGTCAAATATGACAGACATTAAGAATACCATGTTGAGGATGGAATTTTTTTTATCTTTATTACTTTAAGATATTTTAAAATAAACTCAGTACTTGCATAAGATAGCAGATAAACTGTTACTGTCTTTTGTCTGCTTATTGGTAATAATGTCAATTTAAGTCTTTTAATGTTCAACCTAGATTATAATATATCTAAATTAACTTAATATGCTTACTTTCATAAACTGTCTTTTTAGTTTTTTTTTTTTTTTTGCTTTTCTGTAGGAAGCTCATCTTTGTGCTCTTTAATATAAAGGTATTACTGATGTTAATACTCATTTATGTAATATAATTAAGTAATTGATTAAATCAGCTTTTATGTGCTATAATTTGGATTTACTTTCAATATTTAAATGCCTTATATACCTAAATTTGACTGTTAAGAGCATTTCTGGTTTTTGTTTGATTGTTATTTTTATAGAACATGGTTGGAGAATGGGCCTTACCAGAAGAGATGGTTAATAATTTACCACCCTCCAACAATCACATATTAGGCCATGTGCTTCACAGGCTAGTTGAAAAATCTCTTCCTTCTCAAGTTGAATCAACTGTACCTGAATTACCTTCATTTGCTATTAATGGATGCTTATTGGGTAAAACATTTAGTGGAAAAACCACCATTTTAAAGTCTCTACAGAAAGGTAGAATTTCTCTTTTTCACCCTTCATTAAGTTCTATTTACACTAATGGTAGCTGTCTATGTCTATGTCTATGGAACACAAATAAGAAGCTTTGAGGGGAAATCTCTACCATCAAAAATTTTATGATAGGTTGATCATGTACTTTATTGTCCAGGTCATATTATTCAGTCATAAAAATGAATTAAATACTGATACAGGCAATGAATATAAATGATTCTTGACAACATTATGCTAAATGAAAAAAGCCAGATACAAAAAGTCACATCATGTATGATTTCATTTGTATGAAATATACAGAAAGGTCAAATCCATAGAGACAGAAACTAAATCATTGGTTATCAGGGACAGGAGTAGGAAAATAGGGAATGGTAGCTTAATGAGTATTGGGTTTCCTTTGGGGATGATGAAATAGTTAAAATAGTTAATTTTATGTTATATGAATTTTACTACAATTTACTTTTTTAAAAAGCCTAATGGAAAAGACAGTTCTAGAGAGTCTGAAAGATAGTGTTATAGGGTAAAACTATACATAAAAACAACAATTTCAATTTCCCTAATGAAAAGCTATTTATAAAATTATCTTTTGTACTTTAGTCTTTCCTATTCAGATACTTTCTATTGACACTCTTGTTCAAGAAGCTATCCAAGCATTTCATGACAATGAAAAAGTTAGTGAGACCCTACCAATTCAGAAAAAAAATGAAGCCAAGGCTCTACCAGTTCCACAAGAGGAGAATAAAGGAAGCCAGGCAAGTGTGATTCTAGTTTTCTTTTCTGCACCTAGTACAGTAGAGATTTGAATCTGGATGGAATCTTAAAAGTCTTCTACACCAGAGGTCTTCTGTGTTAAGGCCCAAAGAATAGCATTTTACATTTTTTAAAGGCCCAGGGTAAATATTAAATATTTAGTCATTATTTTAGGCCAAGAGGCAAAATCAATGATACTGTGTGGATACTTGTATAACCAAGAGAAAAAACTCTTACTTCCCTTCACCTCCATCAGTTTGCCTGAGTGGACCACCCAGTTGCCATTAACTGGAGACGTTCTCCTGAGGAAAGAGCCACTGGCTGGTGATTGAGGACAGGAGGAGTGACTGAATTACAGAGGTTGAGAGAGTGGCATATGAGTTTTGTGGGAGAACTCAAGAAATCACCAACTCACTTGCCAACATTAAAGTCCCCAGTGTGTAGTTAGAGACCAAAACCAGCCCTGAGCAGTGGCTAAGACAAGTATGGGAGCCCAGCAGGTACCGAGGTAGAGGAAGACTCCTTGCTTTGTCTCCAGTCTCACAGTGCTAGACTGCTTGAGTGATGTCCAGAAACCACATAAAAATAGTCAGCTGGCTGAATTTGGTTCATTGGCCATAGTATGCTGACCCCAGGTATAGTTTAGATCTCAGGTATGAGGGCGGGGCTCTCTGTATAATTTATCTGTCACATTCCTACCCGTTTTGTATTTTATTACATTATTGCATGAAGATACCTGGAGTGGGTGGTGAATAGGATAATGTTGCTCCACATGGAGAATCACTGATATGGTCTGGCCCCTTCATTTTACAGAGAAGGGAGTAAAGACCCTAATCACGAATTTATTTGCTTGAGCTCAGAAGGCTTATTAATGGTTAGTCCATGATTGGCATTCCAGATTCTAAGTCCAATACTTTTTTCCTACCTTATGCTGTCTCTACAATTGATTAAATTAGCTGAGAATTGAATTCAGATCATTTGTATAGGCTGCAAAATGCATACCATTTAACAGTGCATCCTGAAAATAACTGGGAGACATTTTCTTTATTGTGGGCTATCTCTTCTTCCATGTTGTGGTACTCTTTGTATTTTAACCAATAGAATGATAGATAATGTAAATTTTTTATTTTTCTTATTTCTCTATTGCTATGACTAACACCTCTAGGATTTTTTTTGTAAGATGGTTTCCCATAAACTCTATCTTTTTCTCAAGTTTCATTATATGTTTCAAAATAGTAGTTGGTATATTCAATTAACAGTAATTGAAGACCATTCAAAAGATAGATTACCCCACAGGTTACTGTGTGTTTCTTATAAGTGCCACTATTGTTTTTTTTTGAGTTGGAGTCTCACTCTGTCACCCAAACTGAAGTGCAGTGGCACACTCCTAGCCACTGCAGCCTCGACCTGTTGGACTCCAGTGATCCTTCTGCCTCAGCCTTCCTAATAGCTGGAACTACAGGCATGTGCTACCATGCCTGGCTAATTTTTTGATTTATTGTAGAGATGAGGTCTCACCAAGTTGCCCAGGTGGGTCTCGAACCTGCAGGCTTAGGCAATCCACTCACCTTGGCCTCCCAAAGCGCGGGATTACAGGTAGAGCCACCAAGCCCGGCCAAGTGCCACTATTATCAAATATTTTTTGTTTCTAGAAATATAATTTAGGACTTAAACTTCAATTCCCCATAATATCATTAAAATTATAGGTAAAATAGCATATTTGTTCTCAAAAGCTTACTTATAGATTTAAAATTAGGAAGGTTATTACTAAAATACAACAATGTTTTTAATTCTTGTGTGTGTTTTCTCCCCCAAAGGATCCACAAAATGCATTTTCAGCTGGTCCTGTTTCAGATAAAGTATTGCCAGAAACAAAAGGTGAAGATATTAATACAAATAATCTATTATTTACATTGGAGAGACAAATAATAAAAGCCTATATATGTGAGCTTAAACATGCTTTCAAGGAAAGAAACAGAAGTCAGAGTTTTGCATATTTGCCTACATGGTCACTTGACAGTGAGAGCAAGACATCCCTTGTCTACAACTGGGGATATAAAATGAAAATTTCCAGGGAATCTTTTCAGCCTCCTTCAAATAGTTGCTCAATTTTGCTGTATATTATAACAGCCAGAATAAATCCTCATTCTTCCTGGCTGTACAGGGAGACAGTATTTTCTTGTTTCTTCTCACCTAAGCAGCTCTGTGTGTGAGCTCTACTGGGCTCTCTTTGTTCACTGTATTGAGAGGGGCTGTAGAATCTGGTCTTTTCAACCCACGTGCACAGTGATTCCTCTAATAAAGCTACGTTTATTCTCAACCGTGAACAAGTCCAATAGAATCAAGACTCCCAAACCTAACAAAAAGCTATCTCCCTTGGTATTTGGGCTATAGTCTTTCAGATCCTTTGAAGAATCATTGAAGGAAAATAATTTTAAATATTAAATACCTTTCCTATTTGTGTTAGCGAAGACTTGGCCATATAAGTTTTCTCATGTTTTAGTATTGAAGCTGAGATCCTCCTGTGTCATGATCATTATTGCATTACCATTGAACACTCTCCAGGTTTACCACGCACACTTAACTCTCCCAGAGAAGCTGGATTTTCCATTTTTTAAAAGGACATGATCTGTTGTTTATTCCAGTCACTTATTTCTTAAGAGATAATTTTAATTGATTTTTAAAACTATTTATAAGTATTTTATTACATCGGTCCAATTAAGTATATGCAAACTCTTAAAAATGTCTTATTTTTCCACAGAATTTAATTAAAAACCCATCCAACTTATAGAGCTGTCTGCTTTTAGATGTGCTTTTCTATAACATGGTAATCCAGAAAAACAAAAGTATAGTAGATTAACATTTTGACAAAATTTTTTAAGAAACATGATTTATCTTCTGAAAAGAAGAACCCAAACTGTGCTAAAGTATTTTTACTGATATTGTTATAGGCTCCAGTCTTCCAAGAAGGGAGGAAGAGAGGAAGGGAGGGAGGGAAGAAGGGAGAGAAGGAGGGGAAAACACTAAGCACACAGTGGCCAGGGTCTTAATGATGCAGAATGAAGGTAAATGCTATGTGTGATGATTCTATTACTTAATTCCTCTGAGTCTCTCAGGCATAGCTGGATCTGATAACCCTTATGTCCAGAACTATAGAGGGTCAAATAGTGATTTGGTTGATGGGAATAAATACTAGAAATTTGTTCTTACCACTTTTTCTATTGCTAGATACTAATATTAACAAAACACCACAAGCTGAAAAAGTCAAACCAAGTGATAGTTTCTTGAAAGTAAGTATTATAATCTAATTTTGGCTACTAGTATATAAAAATGTGTAATGATTCATGGCCTTTTGATGTGAGTTCAAATGGAATGAAATAGCAATGTGCTTTTCTTTGGTTTCAAAGTAAATTCGATGGTAAAATAGTAGCTAATCTAAGTTTATTTAACATTTTTATAGTCTTAATTTTATATCTAAAGTAGTGAAAGTTATTATTCAATTTTGTCAGGTACACACATGCTTTTTCCAAATTTTAGACTGAAGCCGAATTTGTTTTTGTACATTTTCCTTTATCACTTCATTTGTTACTTTTATTTCTTCTCATACCCTGTTTACCTTTAGATAGCTTTTTCAGAATATATCCTTACTCTTGTTGGTGACACTATAGAATTTTAAAATTAACCCTTGAAAAACTGTTTACAACAATTCATTCACAATTGCTCCTAATGGAAACTAATGTTTCCATAAGTAGTATTGCTTTACTATATATGAAGCATTATTTTGGTCATGAAATTAATCAAGTACAATTCCATTTACTTTATTTTTATTACATTTGATTACTTTTATGCATTTCATCAGGGAAAACAGTTTTATAATATTTAGATTTCAAAATAAAGATAGTAAAAGTTTTGGAAGGATATATACCAAACTGTAAACAAGATGACTGAATGAGTTTTAAAAAAGCAATAAAAGGAGACTTAGAATTTGTATTCTGTGCATTCAAAATATGAACTAGTAGAAAGGTTAAGTATATTTTTATATTGACATTTATTGATTTACAAATCCCCAATTCCATACTCAATTCAATTCAAAGAGTGTACTTTGTTTTGCATACTGTTGTAATAACTTGGATATATCAGTGAACAAAAAAGACAGAGTTCCTAGCCCTTATGGCATTTACATTCTAATGCAGGGAGGCAGGTATTAAATTATGATTATACAAATGAATGTGATTTGTGAGACGGTGATCATGTCATGAGAAAAAAGAAAGGTAGAGTGGAGCCAGGAGAACAGGAGCTCAGGCCAGGACCAGGGGAAAGAGGCACGGTCACCTATGACATGGGGCAAGGCTCCTTGGGAAAGAGATTTAAACAGATTGAAAGAGGTGAGAGAACCAGCCCAGTGGAGCTGGGCAAGTGTTCCAGACAACAAGAACAGTGAGGCAGAAAGGTGCCTGGCCAGCAGGACCAAGAGAATAGTTAGTAAGGAATGAAATTAGAGCCTCAAAAATCTGCACACAAATTGTCCTAAATGCTTCCTGAACTCCTGAATTCTGCCAAATGATCAATGTCCTCATCAGAGAGCATGGCCATTTAATTGTTTTTTCCTCTAAACATTTGACATCTGACTTTTAAATTAGCAGTCTTCTGCCATTCATTGTTTATTTTTCCAGCTCACTGTACGTGCTCAGCTTGGTGCAAAGTCAGAACAGTTGTTGAAGAAAGGAAAGAGCATTCCTGATATGTTGCTAGTTGACATCATGGTGAATGCTATTAAGTATGTATTTCATTTTTCTTTGTTGTATTCATTTAATATAATCTTTATCCCACAAAGGTATATGAAGAATAATATAGAAATATTTTTTGTTTTTAATATTTAACAAATTTTACTTATCTACATAAGAAAATAAACAGAAGGTAAAGATAGATTTTTTTCTGATTTACATGCCAGTATTTCACTTTCTCCTCTTTAGCAACCTTAACTTCTTTCACCCGGAAGGAATACAGATCAGATTCTATTACTTGGGGAGAATTCAAGAAAAAATTAAATAATTGGAAAGCCAAGAGACAGATTATGGAGAGACCCTAACCATGTGGTCATAGGCCACTGTGCCTCCTTGTTTTGTTTTTCAGGAAGGGAGGTAAGGGAGCTGCACCCAGGGATCCAAAGGCTAGGCTGTGCTGGGGCAGGAAGGCAATGGCAGAGAAGACAGTGCATAGGCAAGGAATGCTATCCAGGAAGAGGAAAGGGGATGAGAATCTGCCCTAAAAGATAACACAGCATTCATCAAATGGATAAAATAAATCAGACAAACCATAAAAGCATACTCCCAAACCCAAAGATGGGAACAGGCATGTATTCTAACAGAACAAGGGCTCATACTCATGTTATTCCAAATGCAATTGGAGGTAGCTATGAAGGATTACACGGTGCTGAGGCACAATCTAAGCATCTATAGAAGGCATGTGGTCCTGGAAATTTATGTAAATGTTTACATGGTAAATGCGTCCTTAGATACTGTATTCTTAACACACAGGTGCCAACATTGAATGAATCTCAAAACTATTTTTTTGTTCAACTGACAGTCACTAAGACCAATGAAGATAATATGCCCCCATGGGAAGTAGATGGGCTATTTCAGCTAATAAAAATATATGGTATCCTATTTACTTCTTAGGCTGTGGAAACAAAAAAAGAATGTGGCTATATCCTCAAGTCACTTGGAACACTGATTTCTCTCAAATTTGGTCCCTAATATTAATCTCCTTGGGACATAACATTTGGTATATGGAAAAGGGTCATTTTTGTTGGGAAGGACAACAAAGTGACACTGTAGAATTATATTACTTCTCCTGTAACGAAGCCTTTTTTTCCTCTCAAATACCAGTATATAGTATAACACAAAAGTAATGGAAGAAATAGATTTGTCAACTGTAAACAAGTCCTATGACAATTTAAACATTGAGGACCAGGTTTTTCTCAAATTTGATTTATACCCTCCTCAGGATGTTATACCTATGAAAATCAATTCCAGAGGAAAAATTAAGTTTATTGAATTCTGATGTAGTATTGGTCCTACAGTCCTTAAATAAGATTTATTATAAGTTTCAAATGACCCTTGAGAAGGAAGGTAAACATCTTTAGTCTGATTCAAGAATACAATGACACACAGGGAATTGTTTGGCTAGTCAGGTATTTACTGCCTTCTGATTCTACCTATAACTTTCTTGGATACCTAATCTTTACCATTTTTATAATATTTATTGCTATATTATCATTATATGTCTATTGTAAATGTTATGTCAGACACAGGAAAAGGAAAAAGACACAGTAAAATGCCTGGATCATGATAGCTCACAAAATAGATCTGATCCAGGATGTGTTTTCAAACTGAACCCTAAACCCAACTCTCTCTCACCCCTTAAACAATTGGCTGTTAAATCAGGTCAAACTATGTTCTTCCCCCATAATCTGACGTTGCTTATATTGAAACAATAGTCACTAAATAGACAACTCTAGGAATGAGCCTTCCTAGCCATGTGGGACCTCCTGCTGTTTGTTGACCTGCACATGCATTCTATGAAATGATTTTCAGCCAAGGCAGGGGACCGAGGACTAAACTTTGACTTTTTTCTCTTGCTCAAACTCCTATCTAAGTGGTCTGGGGTAATCACACTCTACAAACCATAAAGTCTCATCAGAAGGGTTTTTTTATCAACCCTATATAATGTGGTTTACCTTCCAACCTGATTCTTATATCATATGACAGATAAAGAAAGAAAAATATTTACCCCAAAATATATTTCTTTAACATACTTTCAAGTAGTCTTGCAAAGCTGTCTTTTATGGGGGGAAATTTTTGTTTGTAGAGATTCTCTATTAACATAGACAGATCTTTCTTCTTCTATGCCTTCCCAGATGCAGGAGGGTTTAGCTGAGTGTCTGATGCCTTTAAAGTCTGAATAAAAGACATTTGCCATCTAGTCTCTCTAAGGGCTGCCACCTAAGAGGCTTCATCTCCAAATTAGAACTTTGGTCTCCACAGCCTCCTTATCTTTTTTGTTTGTTCATTTGTTTTGTTGTTGTTGTTGTTTTGAGTCAGAGTCTCACTCTGTCGCCCAGACTGGAGTGCAGTGGCACACTCACAGCCACTGCAGCCTCGACCTGCTGGGCTCAGGCGATCCTTCCATTTCAGCTTTACAGGTAGCTGGAACTACAGGCATGTGCTGCCATGCCCAGCTAATCTTTTTATTTATTAGAGACGAGGTCTCGCCATGTTGCCCAGGTTGATCTCAAACCCGTGGCTCAGGCAATCCTCTCGCCTCTGCCTCCCAAAGTACTGGGATTACAGGCATAAGCCATCATGCCCAGTAAACTCCTTATCTTAATTCAGACATTCCTTTCTACAAATGTCAGGTCTTTAGACTAATAGCTTAACTCTCTCAACCAATTGCCACTAAAGGATCCCTAAGGCCCACCTATGACTTTGTGAGTCCCACTCCTTTTGAGTTGTGCTGCCCTTTGGGACTGAACCAATGTGAACCTTCCTTGTATGATTTATGATTTATCTGCATTCCTGTCTCTCTCGAATGTATAAAACCAAACTGTAAACCAACAACTCTGAACATACTTTCTTAGGCCCTCTTGAGATTGTGTAACCTGAACCACTGTCACTCATATAGACTCAGAATAAAACTCTTTAAACATATTTTGGCAGAATTTTGAGTTTTTCATCATCAGTCCAAAGGCCAAAATCTCAATTTTACGTGATTTAGGGATTTAGAAGAACAAAGTTGAAGTGTATGCTTTTTCACCTTGTTTTCCAATTACAAACTAAAATAATAATTCTTGTACACTCATTCTCTAAAGAGGACACTGTGCAAAGTGAAAAAGCCCAAGAAATGGTCCTTAACCTTTAGAAACCTGTAACTTAATTGTTATTTAAAAAGACTCACTTGAATTTTGCTTTTAAGTTGAGAAATATAATTACCACTTGTGTGGTGAAGTAAATGAGAATCAGAGGAGTTCAAATTAGGCTACTATAACTCATCCAGGATTGGGTGGGATAGGAAGAACTTTTCCAGTTGGCAGCACAGGTGTCTAGTATGTGCTAATCTCTGTGCTGGGTTTTCTGTGCTGGGTGTTTTAAAATACATCATTTTAGCTCATCCACACAACTACTTTGTGAAATATACTGGGAAGAACAGCCTGTGGACATAAGCTAGAAAATACAATTCATACTCATATAACAAGGAGGGGCACAATTTGTTTGAAGGAAGTGGCTCAAAATTATGATTTAAATAGGGAAATATTATGGAGAAGTAAGTTGTGATCAGTTCGTTTGAAGTACCATGTCAAGGCCTCTGGAATAGATTTGGAAGGCAACAGGGACCCACAGAAGGATTTGAAGCAAGAGAATGACTGAGGCACATTAGTAAACCTAATCTTTTAGCTACAAAGTAATAAAATTCATGCAGTAGGAGGTTATTGTGGAATTGAAAGCAAAAGGCAATATCCATCCATAGTTTTTCACAGCACTTGTGTCTAGCAAAATGTTAATGAATTGTCCTGTTTTAATTTAGTGAGATACCTGTGAATCAAGGCTGGATCCTGGATGGTTTTCCAATGACTTTAAACCAAGCGCAGCTACTAGAAGAAGCTCTCACAGGCTGCAATAAGAAATCCATAGAGGTAGAGAGAAAGAAAGCACAAAAATTCACATTGGCTGCAGATATTGCAACTTCCAAAGAAGTACCTCTTCCCTCTTCTGCATTTGATTTTGTCATATTATTAGACATTTCAGATACTTCCTCCCTGAGTCGGATGAATGATATCATGGGTAAGCTGGACACCATTTTTTGACACTTTTTTTTTTACAATCAAAACTCTTTGTGTTATATGTTCTTTGACTGAATCAGTGAATAGTCCCATTTACAATAATAAGAAAGAATCAACTTCAGTCTTCCAAAGAATTATCTAGTTGAACACAACTGCATCTTGCTTTTACAAAGAATATTCAGCACTGCAAGCCAATCCTGGAACTAGTGGAGAATTCCCGACCAACTGCAAGTGTCTCACTGAACCTTTCCATCAATTTGACAACTGCCCTGGCACAGAGGTGCCTTCTTGATATGTGCATGTTTGGAGGAGCTCTTTGTGGCTATTTAGTGTGTCTTCCTGGGTCACTTTCCTGATGGTCATAAACCACATCTGTACTGTAAGCAAGGATATAGTAATATTTTCCCCTGGATTGTGTATTAACTCTAAAGAACAGGCATCAGTTAGCTGAAGCCCTCACATGATGAGATTGAATATTCTTGCCGAAATTCATTGTTTATTTAACTATATTTTATCTTTTAAATGAAAGTATAGTTTTATTCCACAAATAAAATACTTAAGAGTAAAGTAAAAGCACATATTCTTGAACCCTGGCTTTCCTACGTAAAGGTATTTGACCTTGGGAAAGTTACTTTATTGTTCTTTTTTTATTATAAAAATGTGGGCTACATTTTAGGGTTAGGTAAACAAACATTGATTATGCAGGCACTCTTGCTGATGAGGTATGCCCCTCCCTCCCCTAGCAGTTTCTCTCAACTGCCAATCCCACCAAACCTCCCCTGATAGTTTCCCATTACGGCCAAACACTTTCTTATAGTATTATAATTGTTCAAAGTCCACTTATGAATGAGAACATATGGTACTCCTGTTCTTTTTTTCTGTGATAGATCACTGAGTATGATCAACTCCAAGTCCATCTAAGTTGCTGCGAAGTCTATATATTTGTCCTTCTTTAGGGTTGCTTAATATTCCACTGTGTATATGTAGCACATTTTCTTTATCCACTCCAGCTTCAATGGGCAACATGGTCGGTTCCATGTTTTTGCTGTTGTGAATAGAACTACAACAAACATACGTGCGCAGGTATCTTTTTTGTAGAATGATTTGAGTTCCTTCAGGTATATTCCCAATAGGGAAATTGCTGGGTTGTATGTAAGGTGAATTACTAGTTCTTTCAGAAATCACCACACTGTCTTCCAAAGAGGTTGCACTAGCTTGCATTCCCACCAGCAGTGTAGAAGCGTTCCTTTCTCTCTAAATCCTTGCCAGCATCTGTTGTTATTTGTTTTATTAATGATGGCCATTCTTACTGGGGTTAGATGGGATCTCAATGTGGTTTTGATTTGCATTTCTCTGATGATGAGTGAGGCTGAGCACTTTTTCATGTGTCTGTTGGCTGCCCATATATCTTCTTCTGAGAAGTGTCTATTCATGTCTTTTGCCCACTTTTTAAAGGGGCTCTATGGTTTTTTTTCCTTTTGGAGCATTTGAGTTCCTTGTAGATCCTAGATGTTAGGCCTTTGTCAGATATACAGTTGGCAAATATTTCTTCCCATTCTGTGGACTGTCTCCCTGCTCTCTTGATGGTTTCTTTTGCTTTACAGAAGCTCATTAGTTTGATCAGATCCCATTTGTCTATGTTATTTCTTATGGTATTGGCCTTTAGGGTTCTGAATAGGAATTGGTTGCCAGTTCCGATTTCCATAAGGGTGTCTCCTGCATTTTCTAAGATTCTTATAGTTTGAGGTTTTACGTTTAGGTCTTTGATCCATTTAGAGTTAATTTTTGTGTATGGTGATAGGTAGGGGTCCTGTTTCAATCTTCTGCATGTGATCAGCCAGTTTTCCCAGCTCCATTTACTAAACAGGTTCTCCTCTCCCCAGTGGTTGTTGTCGGAGGCTTTGTCAAAGACGGGTTGATTGAGAAATTGAGACTTTGCTTCTGGAATCTCTATCCTGTTCCATTGGTCTATGTGCCTGTTCTTGTACCAATACTAGGCTGTTTTGATTACTGTAGCCTTATAGTAAAGTTTGAAGTATGGAAGTGTGATACCTCCTGCTTTGTTTCTTTTGCTAAGAATTGTTTTGGCTTTTTGTGGTAGTTTATGTTTCCATATGAATTTCTGTATTGTCATTTTCAGGTCTGAGAAGAATGATATTGGTAACTTATTGGGTATTGCGTTGAATCTGTAGATTGCCTTTGGTAGGAAGGACATCTTAACATTGTTCATTCTTCCTATCCATGAGCATGGAATATTTTTCCATTTGTTTGTGTCTTCTTAGATTTCTTTGACCAGCGTTTTGTAGTTCTCATTGTAAAGGTCTTTCATTTCTCTGGTTAGGAAGATGCCGAGGTATTTCATTTTTTTGATGGCTATTGTGAATAGGATTGCATTTTTTTTATTTGGGTCTCTGCCTACTTGTTGTTGGTGTAAAGGATTGCAACTGTCTTTTGCATGTTTATTTTGTACCCTGAGACTTTGCCAAAGTCCTTTATCAGTGCAAGCAGGTTTTTGACAGATTCTCTTGGATTTTCAAGGTATAGGATCATATCATGAGCAAAGAGGGATAACTTGACTTCCTCTTTTCCTATTTGGATACCCCTGATTTCCTTCTCTTGTCTAATTGCCTGAGCTAGGACTTCTAACACAATGTTGAACAAGAAGGGTGAGAGCCGGCAGCCTTGTCTTGTTCCAGTTTTCAGGGGAAATGTTTCCACTTTTGTCCATTTAGCAATATGTTAGCTATGGGTTTATTGTAGATGGCACTTACTATTTTGAGTTATGTTCCTTCTATACCTAGGTGTTTGAGGGTTTTTATCAAGAAAGGATGCTGGATTTTATCAAAAGCTTTTTCTGCAGCTAAAGAGATAATTATGTAGTTCTTGTTTTTACATCTATTGATGTATTTAATGACATTTATGGTCTTGCAAATGTTGAACCAGCCCTGAATACTGGAGATGAAGCCTACTTGGTCATTGTGTATGATTTTTGAGATGTGTTTTTGGATCCGATTTGCTAGAATCTTGTTGAGGATTTTTGCATCTATGTTCATAAGGATATTGGCCTGTAGTTCACTTTTTTTGTTGGATCTTTACCCGGTTTGGGTATCAGTGTGATGTTAGTGTCATAAAATGATTTAGGGAGAATTCCATCTTTCTCAATTGCCTGGAATACTTTGTGTAGGATTGGTATCAGCTTCTCCTTGTACATTTTGTAAATTCTGCTGGAAAGTCATCTGGTCCAGGATTTTTTTTTTTTTGGTAGGTAGTTTTTGTATGACAGAGTCAATTTCCTGGGTTGTAATGGTTCTATTTAGTGTCTCAATGTCTTATTGTTTCAACATGGGGAAGTTGTGTGATGTCAGAAAGTTCTCCATTTCATTTAGGTTATCAAGTTTGTTTCCATATAGGTGTACATAGTAATCTCGGATAATCTTTTGTGTTTCTTCAGGGTCATTTGTGATTTGATCTTTTGTATTTCTGAATGTGTTTATTTGGGCTTTTTTCTCTTTTTCTTGGTCATTCTGGCTAGGGGTCCATTATTCTTGTTTATTCTTTCAAAGAACCAACTTTTTGTTTTGTTGATGTTTTCTATGATATTTTTGTCTTCTATGTCCTGTATTTGGGCTCTTATTTTTGTGATTTGGATTCTTCTGCTAAAGTTGGGGTTTTGGTGGTCTTCTCTTTCCAGTTCCCTTAGGTGATTTGTTTGGCTGTACTTCTGATCTTTCTGTTTTCTTGATGTGTGCTTGTAGAGATATAAATTCCCCTCTGAGAACTGCCTTCAAGGTATCTAAGAGGTTTTGGTAAGCTGTTTCTTCATTTTCATTTGTTTCCAAGAATCTTTCAATTTCTGTTTTGATTGCAGTGTTGACCCAGTAGCTGTTTAGCATCATGCTATTTAGTGTCTATGCCTTTGGGAGCTTTGGGGAAATGTTGTTGGTGTTGATATTTATTTTTGTTCCACTGTGGTCTGAGAATATACATGACTAGATTTCAACCTTATGGAATTTGTTTATGCTTTATTGATGGCCAAGGATGTGATCAATCTTGGAGTATGTAACATGTGGTGATGAGTAGAATGTATATTCTGTGGTTGTTGGGTGGAATAACTTGTAGGTTTCTATTAACGCCATTTGGTTGAGTGTCAAGTTTAGGTTCTGAATCTTCTTATTGATTTTTTTACCTTGATGATCTATCTAGGCCTGTCAGTGGGGTATTCAAGTCCCCTGCTATAACAGTGTTAGAGTCAATATCTTTTTTAAGTTTACTTAGTAATTGCTTTATAAATGCTGGTGCTCCTGTGTTGAGTGCCTATATGTTTAGGATGGATATTTGTTTTTCTTTTTTTTTGAGTTGGAGTCTCACTCTGTCACCCAGACTGGAGTGCAGTGGCCACTCCTGGCCACTGCAGCCTTGACCTGCTGAACTCTGGCGATCCTTCCACCTCAGCCTTCCAAGTAGCTGGAAATACAGGCACGCGCTACCACGCCTGGCTAATTTTTTGATTTATTGTAGAGATGAGGTCTCGACAAGTTGCCCAGGCAGGTCTCGAACCCACGGGCTCAGGCAATCCACTCACCTCAGCCTCCCAAGGCATGGGATTACAGACTGAGTCACCAAGCCTGGCTTAGGATGGATATTTTTTGTTGATGGTTTGAACCTTTTATCATTATGTAGTGTCCTTTTGCATCTTCTTAAATTTTTGATAGTTTAAAGGTTGTTTTGTCTGATTTTAAGACAGCAACTCCTGCCTCCTTTTGTGATCCATTTGCCTGGAAACTCGTTTTCCAACCTTTAACTTTAAGTCTGTATGCTTCCCTTGAAATGAGATGAGTCTCCTGGAGGCAGCAAATAATTGTGCTATGGTTTCTTATCCAGTACGCCATTCTATGTCTTTTCAGTGGTGCATTTAGTCCATTCACATTCAGGCTTATTATTGAAATATGATGTTTATCCCTGTCATGAGGTTCTTATAAAGTTTTTCCTTTGTTTGCTTGT